TTCTGTCATCATGTACACCGCCTGCATTCAGTCATCGGCTCTTCAATTAGCATAAAAACAGTAGGTAACACAAGGAAGAGAGTGTAATACGCTGGTCAATTATTGAACATAGGTTTTCATTGAATCACCTACCGTAAATTTTGAAAAGCTCAAAATGGAACCGGGCTCTATTCATCAACTATTCTATTAATTATATTTGTTTCGAAATGCATGCTGATTTGTAAAATAGCTATCTTTTCTTAGGATCCATTACGCATCAGCACAAATAATATCTCCAAGTAAATAAGTTCCTGGGTTCAGAAACTCATGATCGCAATTTATGTTTTTTGAATAATTACATTTTTTTCATCAAATTTTGCAGTAAAATTTTATGAGCCTCTGTTGAATTCAGTCACGGCTCACACCCACTGTGCTGAACCATAAATAAGCAGCTCTGGTCCCTCAACAGGTCCATGACATGCGATAAGACAGCCGTTATTGCTTGCTCTATATATCTGTGTATTTGCGCCCATTCATTTTCCATTAGTGATACACTAAAATGGTTCTATTTATTAAGATTTAATTAAGTGCCAAGCTTATGGTAAGGACAATATACGTTTGTGAAGAATGAAATTGGAACTAGAAACTTCCTCTGGCATTTAGTTGGAACTTAGGCATGATTTATAAATAATTAAGATTTGTTAATTGAGTCCACTGAATTTCCCATTAGTTACCAATGAAGCTTAAGGTTTGAATTACCAAATTAGAACTTATTAAGAAAACATGTTTGTAGTGTGAACTTCAAATTGGGACTTCTGACAATTCAGACCTTCTTGGTAGTTACTAGCTTAACTAAAAACATAAGTGGAATTAATGATTAAGTTAAGCTAAAATTTGTGGCTAAGACAAGATATATGTCGCTGTTTAAGAAAGGGACCATTCATTACTTAGAATCATTTCCATACCAACCACCGCCTTAGTTTGCCATTGTGGATTCGGATGAGAATATTATAGATGCAAAGGTGACAATCATTTGAATGGGTAGTTAGATTAATTACGATCTTTATCTTTTCATAGCTAAAAAGTCAGAATTAAGGTGTAGCTGTTGGATTTAAATCTAATTAAATCTATTTGTGGGCACATATGATTAATCTGTGTGTATTGCTATCCTTATTTGTGGGCACATATGATTAATCTGTGTGTATTGCTATCCTTCAGGATAACCCACTAAAGTGATCAATCAATTTGTGTATTGCTATCCTTCAGGATAACCCACTAAAGTGATCAATCAATTTGGGTTAATGGGTATTTAAATAAATCATGGGGTTATATATGCAGATATCAGGTTGTAATTATAATTTGATGAGGGGCCAAATTATAAATGTACAACACCTATAAATAAGGGGTTATGTTCCCTAATCTAGGGACACATTCTCTAATTCTCTTCATCCTCATCTAGAGAAAATTTTGGCTAGAGAAACCCTAAGGTTAGAAGATCATCAAAACCCTAAAAGGTTTTTCTCAATGGATTCAGGTATATGCTTCCGTACTTTTTGATTCTTGTTAATCTCTTTGAATTAATCATGGCTTTATGATTTAGATCTGAAATATTATAGATTATAACAAGTGGTATCAGAGCCACCCGTGATTAATTCTTAGGGATTTAAGTTTTAAAATTGGGTGTTTTGATCTTAAATCTCTAGTTTTGATTCAGAACTGTTCTCGGATGAACAGCAACGTTCGGATGAATAATTACGTTTTTTTATTTTTCGGATGAACAGTAAAGTTTTAAAATTTTTTTGGGTTTTTTCTTTGCTTTTTTCTTGGATCTGGATCAAGAAAATTCATTGTTTTCGATTCTGGATCTGGTTTTGAAAATAAAATCGAGGAATTTTTGGATCTTTTGGGTTTGGTCTTTGGTCTCATGCTCCTCGCCGGCAAAGTTTCGTTGGTGGCCTCGCTCTCGACTCCGACGATGACGGCGGCGTCAGGAAACCCTAGGGTTTCGACCTGTGAATGCAAGAGCAATGGCGGCGGCGATTTCAGATTAAAACCCTTAGGGTTCGTGTGTGAAAATGTGGCGAAAATTAAGGAGGTGGTTACCTCAAATTTTGGCGAGGCTTGAAAGCTTCAAACGAACTTCGCGTTCGTTCTAAGGTGAGCATCGCGCTCAATTTAAACGAACTTCGCATTCATTCTCAGGTTGAGCCTCGCGCTCAATTCAAACGAACCTAGCGTTCGTTCTCAGGTGAGCCTCGCACTCAATTCAAGTTGAGCCTTGCGCTCAATTCAAACGAACCTAGCGTTCGTTCTCAGGTGAGCCTCGCGCTCAATTCAAGGTGAGCCTCGCGCTCAATTCAAGTTGAGCCTCACGCTCAGTTCTCAGGTGAGCCTCGCGCTCAATTCAAGTTGAGCCTCGTGCTCAGTTCTCAGGTGACCCGCGTGCTCAATTTAAGTAGAACCTCACGTTCGTTCTCAGGCGAGCCTCGCACTCGATTCAAACGAACCTCACATTCGTTCTCAAGTTGAACCCTGCGTTCATTTTTTAGTCGAACTTCGAGTTCATTTTCAAACGAACCTCGTGTTCGTTCTCAAGTTGAACATCACGTTCATTTTCAGACAAACCTCGCGTTCGTTCTTAGGTGAGTCTTGTACTCAATACAGTCGAACCTCGCGTTCGAAGTCAAGCGAACTTCGTGTTCACTATGGTTAAGCCTCGGCTTTTTATGGGTCCACTTTGGTATACTTGATTTATTTAATTAAGTTATGGGTCCTAATTAAGCTATGAAAAATTCTTCTAATTCATATTAATTTTGGTAGTTAATTAATTATTTAATTCAAATATTATGACACTAAGGTATTAAGGTTGTCTCTCACTCTAATTGTTTATTTGAAATAAGAAGTTGCCAAAGTAACCTCTCTTGTGTAGATTGTTCATGAGGAATGTGAGATGTTTGTGCGTATGCTTTCGTGTAAATATTTAATCGGCCCAAAGGAAGATTAATATTTATTTAGACTGCATACACATCTGTGATGATAAACGTATGATAATTATAAGGTTTACATGTGAATAATGAATCAATCCAAAAATAGTTTTATTATTTGACATGAGTTATTGTCAATGTTTGATCATTGCAACAAGGTATCACTTGCAATTAATATTATTGTCCAAAGACTTGATATTAATATTGTGCCAGATATCTTGGATGGGATTTGTCATTATTTAAATTTTATTGATTACTAATTATGGTTATTAATGTGAGCATTTTTTTATTTTATTTTAGCTAATGCATCTGCTGTAACAATTTCTGCTAACATCAATTCAATTCCCATGCTAAATGGGACAAACTTCAAGGTTTGGAAAGAGAACATATTAATTGTTCTTGGCTGCATAGATCTAGACCTTGCATTATGAATATAACAACCCCAACCTCTCAATACGGATAGCACTCCTGATGCAAAAAATGAGTATGAGAAGTGAGAGCGTTCAAATCGCATGAGTCTTATGATTATTAAGTGCGGCGTTCCGGAAGCCTTCAGGGGCATAGAATCTGAAGGGATTACTAAGGTTAAAGATTTCCTTGCCGAAATTAAGAAACGTTTTGCAAAAAACGATAAAGTAGAAACAAGCACGATTTTAGCTCGCTTGATTTCAATGAAGTATAAGGGCAAAGGAAATATCAGGGAGTACATTATGGAAATGTCTCATATTGCTTCAAAGCTTAAGGCACTGAAACTCGATCTTTGTGATGAGTTATTAGTGCATCTGGTTTTGTTGTCTCTTCCTGCACAATTCAATCAGTTTTAGGTCAGTTATAACCGTCAAAAGGAGAAATGAACTCTAAATGAGCTCATTTCATACTGTGTACAAGAAGAAGACAAGTTGAAACAAGATAAGACAGAAAGTGCTCATTTGGCCTATGCCTCTAAGGATAAGGACAAGAAAAGAAAGAATAATAATAAAGCTACTAAGGGTCCAGTTTAGAAGAAACAACATAAGGATAATCAGGATTGTTTCTTCTGTAACAAGCCTGGACACGTAAAGAAGGATTGTACCAAATATCACGTCTGACGTGCTAATAAAGGTATGTTGCTTACTTTGGTCTGTTCTGAGGTTAATTTAGCTTCAGTACCTAGAAACACTTGGTAGTTAGACTCTGGTGCTACTACTCACATAAGTGTTGCTATGCAGGGTTGCCTGAGCTACCGAAAGCCAAGTGATGTTGAAAGACACATCTTTATGGGTGACGATCAATCGGTAGATGTGGAAGCAATTGGGTATTTTAGGTTGCTATTAGGAACTAGTTCTTATTTGGACTTAAAAGATACTTTTGTAGTACCGTCTTTTAGACGGAATTTAATTTCAGTTTCTGTATTGGACAAATCAGGTTATTCTTGTTCATTTGGAAACAATCAATTCAGTTTATCTTTTAATTCAAATATTGTGGGAACTGGTTACTTGAGTACTTATGACAACCTATATTTGCTCGATACAATTGCTTCTTATAATGAATCCTTGCATGTGGAATCACGTTGTACTAAGCGTAAATTAAATAAGGAAAATTTGGCGACATTATGGCATAAGCGCTTGGGTCATATCTCAAAAGGTAGAGTTAAGCGTCTTGTGTCTAATGGCATTTTGGATTCTCTTGATTTTTCGGACATCAACGTATGTGTTGAATGTATCAAGGGAAAATAGACCAAAGTTAAGATATTAGGTGGCAACAGATCTTCGGATGTCTTAGAATTGATACATACGGATATTTGTGGGCCATTCCCTACGCATCCTGGAATGGTCAACAATATTTTATATCATTCATAGACGATTACTCACGTTATGGGTACCTATATTTTTATATCATTCATAGACGATTACTCACGTTATGGGTACCTATATCTTATTCATGAAAAATCTGAGTCTTTGGACATGTTCAAAACCTATAAAGCTGAAGTTGAGAATCAACTCAACAGAAGA